GATAGAATATAATCTTTATAATTTATTTATAATAATATAGAATATAATCTTTATAATTAATTTATATAATGATATAAAATAAAGAAAAAAAATTATTTTATATCATTATATAAATAAATTATAAAGATTATATTTTGTCATTAAGTTATAATCCATATAAAGAGACCCGCTCACAAATTTGACATCAAATTTTAAAAATTCACTCGACACACACTTTCATCCTCGAGCGCGTCCTCACATCCAACATATAAATATATAAATATATTTGTATTTGTATTTATATATTTTATATTTATATATTTACATGGATATACATTTTTATTTGTATATAAATATAATTTATGTATAAGTTATTATCGAAAATCCTGGTAGCTTAGTGGTTGGAGTATCGTCTCCGACTCTAAGGTACTGGGTTCGAATCTTGCAATGACAATTCTCTTAATCTCGATAATAATTCAAATTCCTAAAAAATATAAATAATAAAAATATAATATAAAAGGGTTATAAAAGGGAGATGATAGTCTAGGAAACTCTAGATAATAATTCAAATTCCTAAAAAATATAAATAATAAAAATATAATATAAAAGAGTTATAAAAGGGAGAGGATAGTTTAGGAAATTCTAGATCTATAGATAGGGTAATTAGAGATGTGTTATGAATAAAAAAATAAAAAATATTAGACTTTCTACATCGGTTCCTTACAACCGATGTGGAAAGTCACACTTTCTACATCGATTCTAGAACCGATGTTAAAAGCCTATTTTGTACTAGTGAATGTTTATAATATATGTATAAATGTATAAACTCTACAAGTTTACATTGTTTCTATATAAAAAATAATTATCAATGAGACTTGTCTTCCATCTTGATGTCTCAATCTATTTATGTTGATATTTTAGTTGTAACATATACAAGAGATAATAGTAGGAAAATGATAATAATGATCATATAAAATAATATAATCTCAAAATGATATTTCACATCATCCTTCTCAATTTCATCAACATATTCCATTTGTTTTATATTATAAAGATTTGAATTGATTTTTGTAATGCCTTAGGATAAATGAACTCAAAATTAATAACTCTTTAAATAATATTTACTCATTTTAATCTTCAACGTCCAACCTCTATCTACAATGTCATCAAATCTTCATAAATAAAATATTTTATTTTTTAAAAAATTTAAACAACAATCCAATAATATAAATATAAATTAAGAAACAATGATTAACACGTAATCGAAAATAAATATAAATTTAAAATAGGACTAATGCGTAATTAGAGATAAATAAATAATTATAAAATAATTTCAAGTACATAACTAAAGATAAATAAATAAATATAAATCAAGATCATTATTTAACTAAATATAAATATATAACAAAATAAATAAAATGAGATTAGAGATACTACCCTCTATCATAATTAAAAATAAAATAAATAAAATAATAAATATATCTACCCTACCTCAATAATAATAAATGATAGATTAATATTTATTTTTAAAGTTGTTTTTCTTTCTTTATCTTTCTCTTCCTCCACATTTTTCTCTCTCCCCTTTTTTGCTCTTTTTTACCCTCTCTCATTTCTCTATCTTTCTTTCTTACCATCTCCCACTACTTGAACTCTTTTTATAACCAAATATTTTTTTATTTTATTTTATTTAATTAGCCTATTAAACGACTAATCATAACTTTAAGATAAAATTTATCTTTGGTTGAAATAAGTCAACTTTTTATATTTTTTAATAATTATATATATATATATATATTATTAATAATTATTATTTTAAAAAAAATTAATAATTTTAAAATTTTAATAATAATTTTTAACAATAATAATAATAATTTTTCTTTTAATAAATATTTATTTTATTATAAATAATATTTAAATTATCCAATAATATAATTTAACATATTATATTTAAAAATTTTAAATAATAAATTTTAAGGTGTTAGATTTTAATTTTTGTTTTCTCTAAATGGCACCTCCAAAGTTAGTGCTGCAATTTCTTTGATCCCATTCACAGGCATTTTGCTTTGTATTAGATAAAAATTTCTACAAATATTTTTAAAAAATATTAATTAAAATAAACTTGCATCTAAATTAGCATATAAGTTAAAGTATAACTCTTGCCTGAAAAAGTTAATTTTTAACATATATGTGTAAATGAATAATAATTTATACATTTGTTTTTTCTTATTATTATCCTTTCTATGCCTTTTGCCTGTTGGGAAACACAAAACTCGAACACGCAACCATGTGTTTCGTGGGCTTGAAAAATCAGGCTCTAATGTGGTGCTTAACATGGGTCGATTGAAAAAATCTACATTGAAAAATCTGGTCTTTAGTGGGTTCAATAAATCAATGGAAATAAAAAGGATTTTTATTCGTTTTAAATTCTAAATCTTAAAGTTCTATCTTCATCTTAAAAAATAAAATAAAATCCTTAATATAAATAAGTTCTGAATTCATTTTTTAAAAGTATTCTGAAAATATTTTGGAATAATGTTTCTAAAAATTTCTTGAAAACGTTTTGAAATTAACTTTCCGAAAATCTTCTGGAACATTTTTAGAAATGTCATTCCAGAATAATTCTGAAAAGCTCATTCCATTTCGAAAAAAATATGGAAAAGTAAATCCAGAATTTCATTTATGTGAAAAATCATTTCTAAATTTAACTTTTTGAAAAATTTTAGATTAATCTTTTCACAATGATAAAATTATATTCTAGATTTCATATTTTGAAACTTAAAAGAATTATATATATTTCATATCTATTCATCTAAATGTTTTCCTGAATTTTCAATTGGACGTATTTTATACTATGCTTTCGAATTACTCTTTTAATAAAACTAAGGGTATTATTGTCTTTTCAAATAAACATGAGTGGAAGAAGAGTGTACCAATAATATAAATGGGTTAATTGGTCTTCAATTATTGACAGGTATTTTTATAAAATAACTATTATTAAATAAATTTATTGTGAAAAAAATATTATTATTAAATAAATTTTATTGAGTCACACTGATTAAAATATATTCACGTTGTATTTGGAGAAGAGATCTGCCTAAACCCACCAAACAGTAGTGGAATGAAAATAATATAATGCTAGATTTCATTAATATGATATTAAGGTTGTTTGAATTTGGTACTTACACTATTTGACCCTGATTTACCTGCATTAAGGTTAAAACAGCTCATGTGACTAAACAGCTCGTATTAAAAAAGAAGTCCATGAAACCATAATGTCTACGGAAATTTTATGGGTGAGGTCACTCCATGACATTATTTATAATAAAAAATCTATTTTAAAGACAAGAACATAAAATAAATTGTCTAATAAACATTATTTACGACATACTATAATTTAAATCATTAGAAAAATGATACTTTGACAACCCAAATTTATACAACTTCTGTATACAACTCTCTTTTAATATTATAATAATAGTTTTACTTTATTTTTATTTTTATTAAATCATTCTATAGAATATTATATTAATAAAAAAATATTATATTAATAAAAAATGAGTTGTTTGAAGGGTTGTATAGTTTCTGGTTGTCAAAATATCACCACTCAAATCATTAATATTAACATGATTCAACGAAATAAATAAATAACAATACTATTATAAATACATATTTAGGTTAATATCTAATGTTTTTAAAATGGGAAACGATAGGTTTAGTATGTTTAAATCTGACGTAAAATCAGATTTAATAAAATAATATTTTTATAATATAATAAATTTATTAGTAATAATATTTTTTATAAAAAATATAATAAAGATTATTATCATAATTAAATAAATTATAATGAAAATTATAAATATAAAATATTAAAGGGTGAAAGATGATAAATTTTAAGATAAGATAAAAATATAATAAAATAACTATTATTTAATATTGATGTAACTACGAGATAAAAAAAATAAATTAAAATATATTATATTTTTTATAAAAAATTATATTAAAAAAATTTGATCTAAATATTTTTTTTACCGGTTTGATTAAAAAGTTCAATAAGTTTTTTCGATTTTGTCAAAGTTTAGTTAAAGTTCGGTTATTTAAAAGCAATACACTAATTTCTAGTTCGATTTTCAATTCAACAGGTTGATTATGCTTCTCCATTTCGATTTTCAAAATAGTGCTAATATCAACTTGATTACAAATGTTTATTTGTTTGTTGGATGTCAAACCTATTTCAATCCTTATAAATGTTGAACCAATATATTAAATTCATATGTTTGTTAGTTTAAAATGGATTTAGTTCATTATGAGAGAAAAGGGGAAGATTATAATTTTGGTCTCACATAGGGTACTAATATTTTATTTAGGGATAAGATTATCCCTACCTCATGTTAATTATAATAATATCGTTAGAATCAATTACCATATTTAAGATATTGTCTACTTTGAGACTATAATTCATCAATATTTTGTCATTAAAAGACATTTCAATGAATTAAAAGAAAATGATATTGTTGAAAAGTGTGAGTTTGAAGTCCCATATTGGATAGAAATGAGAAAGTTGGGTAATAAGAAAAACGCATAATCTAATACCTTAAGGTTTTGAGTTGAAGATGGTGTCATATTCTCTTATATGATTGACTTATGACTCATTTGTGAGAATCTCCATGCTGTTAGCCCCTCAAAAATACTCAATAAATATATATAAATTATCCTTAACTTCTACTATAGGTAAATTAGTTTTAAGAGTCAATCCAAACAAATAATTTTCTAGGAGGATCATAATATACTTTTTAATAAAATCTTAAAAGATTTATTTTGTTAGAAGGACCATGATCCTTCCGGTCCACTCCCTTCACTTCTTACCTCCTCTTGTGTAATGTGAAACTTATTAGCATATAACAAAACTCTATTTTTATCCACTAGTCAAGAAAGATAGTTTCAATTTTTACTTGATCATTTATATCTTCATTTAAAACTTAAAATTTTCAAAAATATTAGAATCATTTGAAGACAATCTCATTTTAGTTCATATCCCATAAGGAACCTGAATAATCCCATGAGTCAGACCCCTCCTCAAATTCTTGAGGATTATGGTTGCACTTTCCTGTACTATTACAATCTTGTTCTAGTTCTTTCCCACAATAACCCTTTTTCAATTCTGCTATCCAATCCAATATCCTAGTTTCATAGGGTGATCTTCTCAATTCCCAATCTGATAAGGGTAAAGTGTCCATGGAGCTATCCTTTGTCTCCCACTCACTATCTTGACAACTAACTTTTCCTGTGCTGTAATCCTTGGAAACCATATCAATGCTTTGTTGGTTCAAATCTTGTGTTCCACTTTCTAGTTTATGCTTGAAATCTCCTGAGACCGAATGAAACTAGTGTAAGTGGATAATGAAATGTACAATCATATAAAAGTACAATAACAGTAACCAAGTGCATGTTTGGAATGATGGAAAGCTGAATCAAACTCTTTTACCATTAGTTTGAGACAAGCTGTCTTCCATAAAAAGGTACTTAGTATTATTCTCACATAATCTTTATTATAAGTTGGATTAGTGAAGTAGTAATTAAGGTTTACTTTCTCCTTGATTAATGGGGTTTGAATTTTTGTGGAGAGAAAATATCTCTGTTTTTTTGGAAACTTCATAATTTTTCGATTAATTTTCAAAATATATTAGCGAATTTGACATGAATTAATCAAGGGATGCTCTGTAAATGATGGTTTTGTAACAAGCATTTATATAAAGAATAGCACAACGCACCTCCTTGTTGAACTTGAGCTTTTTTCCTCAAATGAGTTCTCCAGTAATTCTTGATTTCATTATCAGTTCTTCCTGGAAGTCTCTTAGCAATCTTTGCCCACCTACATTCATTGGATTAAAAATATTAGAAATTTGAATAATTTAAGTCCATAATGTGCCAATTCTTTCTGAAGCTGGTAACTGTGAACACAGACTAAACTAATGGGTAAGAATCTCACTTATTGCCCAATTGCTTCTGAAGCTGAACAATAAGCTGTTCTTCTTCAACATTAAAAGGACCATGCTTCAAATTTGGACGAAGATAGTTCATCCATCTTAACCTACAACTCTTACCACTTCTCCCGAGTCCTACAAAAACCATGTGTATGCACAAAATAATAAGCATCAATAATATCAAATTGAATATTCTGTGAGATCTCCAACAACTTCTATTGCAGCAGCATTAGTACCATTTGTTTCTTGCTTTTTACAATATCAAAGACTACAACAAAATTGAAACCACGATCACAACTTAAAACTCCATATTATTTTGTTCATTTACATCACCATACACATAAATCTTGATACATACCAGAAACTTTGGCAAGGGAATCCCACCTTCGTTCCCCAAGACGGGCCACAAAGCTTGTCAATTGTTCATCTTCCTCTTGAAGCCAAGTCCCTTTACGCAGATGTTCTCTTTGCATGGCTTATTCATATATTTATATGGCACTTTGTGTTCATGAAGAGGGTCTTTAGGCACATATATATATATATGTATATATATATGCACAAAGTGTAGGATATGACAAGTGATTAATCATGAAAACGAATTTGGAGAAGTGAAAAGGGGAGGATGACCAAAAGTCAACGGGCAACGAAGTGGATAATATTGCTGAATTGTGTGTGGGAACTCCACCAACTATTGGTTAAGCAAATAATTATGGTGGTAATATGCAAGTTATGAAACTGTATTATTATATTATTAGGTCATCTTTCATCTAAGATTAGATGCACTTTTAGGATCACCTATTCTTGGCATCAGCAACTCTGCTTTTTGTGAAGAGATGCTCCATAACTAGCTTCTACTAGTATAACAAAAACTGGTAAGAGATATAGATTGTTCTCATAGGATGCACATCCTTTTCTCAATGCTTAGTGCTAGAAACAAGATATGGATGTTTAATGTATAAGAAAATAAAAAACGTGAGAAAAGAAAAAGAAAACAATTGAGTTGATGATCATTATATAATAAATTAACTGCATACTTGAAGATCAAAAGATAAGGGATGGAGTTTTGGGTGGGTAGAGAAACCAACATTTTGTTAATCAATGAATATGTGCAAAAGGTGGAAGGCTCTAATATTCCTATTTGATATTTTCCTCAATATTATTTCAGCCAAAATTATCACAAGTTTTGGTAAAAGAGACATATTTTTTTGATAGATTAAAAATATTTTTGTTGTTACGTTGAAGAGTCACACATCATACCTTTCTTTTTCTCTTTATTTTTTTATTATGATTCATTTTCGGGTAAACATGATTTGATTAAGCAAATCTTGTTTTCAATCAAATTCTAAAATAATAATCAAATAATTTGAGTTAGGAAAATTTTCCTTTTAAAGAATTTTTAAGTGGAACTATGATATTTTCAAGGTTCAATATGAAAATAATTTTATAAGTTTTTTTGATTTTGTTCGTATGAACAAATAATTTGAAATGTTTCGACTTTTTTAAAATAAATTTGAATTAAATAATAATTTTACACTATTTTATAAATCCATAATTTGCTTCTTCTCTAATGAGTTTTTAAATTATTTCTGATGGTACTTAATACGTAAGTGAATAAAAAAGTTAGGATTATGAAAATAAATATAAAGGATAAACTATTTTAAAGAAAAATTAGTGAGGAAAGTGGTAAAACCTTGAGGAAAGTGGTAAACTATTCTGAAAGGAAAGCTTTAAGACAAACATATAGATAAAACCTTGAGTAAAACTAAGTTCTTTTTCTACTGGCAGTGTCTTTTGAAATTATGAAGTTTTTTTTTTTTTTTTAATACGTGGTTTCAGATAAAGAAAATTATTAAATGTTCTTAATTTTTTGTTTAGTCAACTCTTTCCACCTTCAACTAAAACCTTTTGTTTAGTTAACACTAAAATTAGCACATTTCATAGAATCTAATACTTTCCCTTGCTAGCATTATACTTCTGCAGGTCAAACTCAATTATGGTAAATAACTAAAAAAAGTGAATGAGAATAAAAAAAATGATAAAAAAATATATAAGAAAATATTGCAAATAAAATAATTTTTGTTGCAAGTATTTTTCTTTATCCAACAGATGATGGTGGTCTTCCTACTTGGAATGACATGACCAATTGAGTTGGAGTTTTCTGAAATCACCCTTTTTCCATATAAACTTCATACTACTGTAACATTTATTTGGAAAACCATAAAATACATCAAATATCACCACCACCAACAAGGTAGTGCCTCTGCAGCAATCAAAATCAACACATTTATCATCAACTAAATTATGGTAACAAAGTTTTTTTTATTCAGTTGACTCCTTCAACCGTCAAATTGTGAAATTTAAGTCATGAAATTTACAGCAAATTAATCAGGGTATGATGTGAGAAGTAAAACTAAAGCTCAGGAGATCATGAAGTGGTACAAAGGTAGGATCGGTTAAGAAAATGGTATAATTTAGACATTATTTAGGGTTGAAAAGCACATCTCCAACTGGAAATTGATATGAAACAAACGCAGCATGTGAGTGCTCTCTATCAGATCAGAAATTCATGAATGAAGATATTTTTTTTGACAATTGATGTCTGCGTGGAATACGATTTCTAAACGCAACATAATGTCGGTTTACTGCTTCCCAATTATTTGATTTACCATGAAACATTATCAGGTGATTTCTTTAGGTTACTTTCAGTATAAACTAATCAAATTAGTAAAGAGATACACGCCTATTATTTCGAGATATAAGGTTCTCGAATATCCCACGAGATAATAGGAGAAATCATCTATAAGTAATGAATACGTTATCTATAACATTATTTTATAGAAGATTTAGTATTAAATATATTTTTTGTATTAATCTATATATTTATTTATTAATTTAAGTATCGCGAAATTTTTATAAGTTGTTCTCTTTTTTCTCTTCTAACTCGGAACAAGGTAAAACTACCTCTTGACCACACTCTATGGTTCAAATGAGGCATTAATCAAGCTCCTCAATTGCATCATGGGATTGAGATGGGATTGAGGAGATATGATTATTAATGTTAAAGCAGATGGTGCAGATTGCATTGTGACAACCAATTACACGTTATTCTCACAATCCTTCGTATTAGTAGAATCTCACTTGCATTCTTCGCACCAATGGGCACACACTTGAGCTAAACTTTTGGACTCCCAATATGGACACACAGGTACAAACACCCCAAATTGGGTATACACAGTCCATTAGTTCTGTGTATGAGCATCCTTTCATGGCTAACATAATGGAAGATCCCTTCCCTCAGCACTAGAGAACACCTACCATTATGTTGGGCAACCAACTTTCTTATTTGCACCGAAAGCACGGATGAAAAGGGTGGTTGCCAATTTTTTATTCAAGCATGAGGTACCCACGAGACATATTTTATGGTAATGCACAGTACCAATTTTTTCTATAAATTGGTCTTCTTCCTGCAAGCATATGTATTCCATCCCACACAAAAATATTACTTCTCTTAGAGAAGAAAGAGTGGCACCAGCGAGAGGCAGAAAAACTAGAGAGTTTTAGTTTAGCTTATGGGTGTAATTGGGTTGTGAGTTATGAGTGTTTTTTGAGAGTGTTTTGTAAACACTTGTGTATTTTTCTTTTCTCCTACTAAGAGATCTGCAGTAGTCCGGAGACGTAGGCATTATTGGCTGAACTCCGTTATCAATTGGTGTGTGCAATTATTCCGCTTTTATTTCACTTTCACATATCTGACCATATGGGAAGATTCAACATATTTTTCCCAACAACTGGTATCAGAGCTGGTTGTTAGTTCTGTAATTTTTGTGGTGTTACTATTCATATGAATAGTAAGTTACTATTCCATGAATAGTGAAAACGTGAATAGTGCAAATTTTGTCGGCGCTACAAATTTGCCCGCAGTCGTGTTCTGAAACACGGTAGCTCACAGGAATTGTCAGAAACGATCCAGCAGATAAGTCAGATCAGAGTTGGAGTGATGACTGCAGACGAAGGAAAAATGAAAATTGAAAGGTTCGACGGTACAGACTTTGGCTTCGGAAGATGCGAGATAGAGGATTATCTCGTATCGGAAGAAGATGCATCAACCACTCACGGGGAAAAGCCGGAAACCATGAAAGAGGAAGAATGGAGTCTCCTTGATAGACGAGGCTCTTGGAGTTATTCGTCTAACATTATCCCGTAATGTTGCTTTTAACATTGCGAAAGAAAAGACGACCTCGAGATCTCATGAATGCTCTTTCCAACATGTACGAGAAACCATCAGCCTCAAACAAAGTTCACTTGATGAGGCGATTGTTCAACCTGCGGATGTCCGAAGGTGCTTCGGTGGCAAATCATCTCAATGAACTCAACACTGTAACAACCCAGTTGAGTTCTATTGACATCAAATTCGATGATGAAGTACAAACTTTAATACTTTTGTCTTCCCTACCAGAGAGTTGGAATGCTACGGTCACAGCTGTGAGTAGCTCATCGGGAAACAATAAGTTAAGATTTAATGATGTTCAAAATTTGGTTCTCAGCGAAGAGATCCGGCGGAGAGAGTCGGGTGAAGCATCAACCTCTTCATTATTGCATACAGAGTCAAGAGGAAGAAGTTCAACCAAAAAAATTAGACATGGAAAATCAAAGGACAGGCGGTCCAAGTCCAGAAATCATCGTAGTTCCCACAACTCAAAGTCGATCGAATGTTGGAATTGTGGGAAGACCGGACACTTCAGAAACCAGTGCAAGAGTGCACGGAAGAATCAAGGAGCAAAGGACGAAGCAAACGTTGCCTCCACCTCAGGAAAAGATGAGGCGTTGATATGCTCTCTTGAAGGCAGGGAGGAGTCTTAGGTGTTAGACTCCGGAGCATCTTTTCATGCTACCTCACAGAAGGAACTGTTGGAGAATTATGTTCCCGGAAACCTTGGTAATGAACAGTCATGTGAGATTGTAGGCAAAGGTGCAGTAAGGATTAAGCTGAATGGGTCTGTATGGGAATTGAAAAATGTCAGACATATTCCCGACCTGACAAAGAGCTTAATCTCAGTAGGTCAGTTAGCTAGTGAAGGCTATACGACAATCTTCCACGATGATGAATGGAAGATCTCAAAATGTGCGATGACGATTGCTCGAGGCAAAAAGAATGGAACTCTCTACAAGACTGCAGGAGCATGTCATTTGATTGCAGTTGCAGCAAATGAAAATTCCAACATATGGCACCAAAGACTTGGACATATGAGTGAGAAAGGAATGAAGGTCATGCACTCGAGAGGAAAATTACCGAGGTCTTCGATCAGTAGATATTGACATGTGTGAAGACTGCATACTTGGAAAGCGAAGAGAGTCGACTTTCGGACAAGTAAAAGAACCCCAAAGAAAGAGAAGCTTGAACTCATCCACTCGATGTTTGGGGTCCAACGACTGTCCCATCCGTTGGTGGGAAGCATTACTTCGTGACTTTCAT